TGGGAACACACAGCAACGATCAGTTTCTCCTCCATACTTGCAAACGAMTGCGCGCCAGTTCTCGAGTTTCTGCGTCTCATAAATAATACATCACACAGGGTTGAACATCCGTCCCCTCGCCACCACGTCACAGCAGATTTGATTGGTTGTCGAGACGYGGCGAGCGGCGACGTTCAGATAAAGTTCAGATTTTTCAACTCGAGCGGCGGCAGCTGCCGCGAGCACCGCATGCTCGGAAAACGCTTTGCCGCCCCTTCCGCGCCGCACAACCCCTTGAGGCGCGTTCGCCATAGACTTTGGATGTAAACTGGCAGCTCCTGCCGCTCAAAACGCTCTCGGTGTGAACGAGCCATTAGCCTAAACAAAACTGAGTGACGTTCTGACGTCTGACGTAAAAGGTAACACCTCTGGGGTGTAACCAGGAAGGGATGAACATTATAAGTTCAGTTCATTATTATAGTTAAAAGAAGTTGCCAGTGTTTTGCAGAGTGTCTGCAAAAGAGCTCCTGTGTTTGTTTTGATTTGGCCCAAGGTTGTACGCTGAGGCCTGTGCTGCTGAGTGCTGAATGTACCTGATTGGAGTCAGAGGACTGAAAATAAATTTTTAAAGAAGAAATCCAGCGAATTCCTGTTTTATACGGACATGCCATTTTGAACAACGCATATTTTTCCAACAATTTGGTGACCCCGACGTGATGGATGATCTTGAATAAGCAGAGAACATTGGATTTTATTTTTGGCTGTTGAAGAACCTGAGAAGATTGAAACAGAGAGATCATCTGCTGAGAGTGAGTACAGAAAAGCTTCAAGATGCCTCCTTTTTTTTCCAAAGAGGATTTCTGCCAGCTTCTCCAAAAGGTGACAGTGTTGGAGCTCAAGATTAATCTTCTGGAAGAGATGAATGCTTTGGAGAACTCAACATGCGTTCAAACGTGTGAGAAGGCTGAGAGGAGAGATCAACATGGAGAGGAGATGGAAGCTGCTTCTGAGGGTGAAGCACTATGGAACTCTGTTGGTGCCAGACCAAAAAATCTCTCGGGAAGGATTCAGCTCTTAGATGACATTGAATGACCAGAGTTACAGAGGAAATGCTTTTTCTCCACCAGCAAGGAGAAGAAAGCAGCGACAGGCTGAAATCAAAACACCTGATAACAGCCAGAGAAATGAAGCAGTGTTCAAAACAGATTCACACCACTGGAAGAAACTGAGTCTGGACAAAGTTCATCTCCTGATCTCAGAGAGGGACTTGAGACCAGATCCAGCTCAAAGCCAAAGCAAGTCCAAAAAGACTTTCAAGAATCAAGAAATGCTGATCATCACMGATAAAATGGTGAATGAGATCAGAGGCTTCTGGAACAAAAAAAAGTCAAAGTTCTGAGTTTTGCTGATAAAGTGTCTGACCTCACAGAAGATTCTGGAAATCTCAGCAGAGTATCCATCTCTGAAGAAGCTCATTATTCATACAGGAAGTGATGAAGTTATGAACCGACTGTCAGAAATCCTGAAGAAGGATTTTATTCTGCTGCTGAATGCAGTTAAGAATCTCAACATGGAAGTGTTCATCAGTGGGCCCGTTCCTGCAGCAGGAGGAGCTGAGAGGTTCAGCAGAATGTTGGCTCTTAATGGTTTTTTGGAAAAGCTCTGTGTTGACCACTCTGTGAGATATGTGGACAACTTTGATCTCTTCTGGGAGAGACGACATCTGTTCAAGTCTGATGAAAGGGCTTTGAACCGACATGGATTGGAGCTGTTGGTTTCAAACATGAAGTATTTCCTGAACCAAGTTCCGGCTGGAACCAAACAACAGGAGAGTGATCAGCTGAAGTCTGAGGCTGAAGGACAACGGGTGCAAACTGAGACACCAATGGAAAACAACGTGCAAGTGGCTGAACCAGAACCATAGAGAGGGGAGTTATTTCAAGCTGCTGAACTGGAAGAACATCTGGACTCATCATCACAAACAGAGGAACCAGAAAATGTGTTCCCCCAGGCTGCAACTGAAGAAAAACTGACCACTTCTTCTCCACCTGAGGAACCCAAACCATCAACTGAGGATGAAAATGTAAAACCTACATCCAAGAAAAAAGTATACAGGATCAGAGACCACTTTGAAGACCCTGTGAAAMGAGAACAGGAGCGTTCAGATTATCACACAAAGCTACAGAACCTTTGGATGAGGAATAAAAATAAATGGACAGAGAAGAAGAAACAAAATGGAAAGATAGCATTATGAGTCTTATCCCTGATGATGAATATTTTTATGTCTGGGAGGATTAAAAATTGAATTTTTGGGAAAGGTTTAGAAATATCCTGATGTGACAACAGATGTTATAACTTCTCTTTATAAAGTTTTCATAAAATTTCTTATAGTTTTGACATATTTTATATATGTCGAGAGGGATTGAAGAAATTTTGTAACTGATTAATTAAATATTAGATTCAGTTTTGTATTTTATACTTTCTGATCATTACAGCTTTAAGGCCATAACAGAATAAGAGTTGGTGTGTGTGTTACCATGTGTTCTTTCCCTTAGCCTAAACAAAACTGAGTGACGTTCTGAAGTCTGACGTAAAAGGTAACACCTCCAAGGGTGTAACCAGGAAGAGATGTACATTATAAGCTTGATTCATTATTATAAAAAAAGGAAGAAGTTGTCAGTGTTTTGCAGAGTGTCTGCTCAGAGCAGAACTCCCGTGTTTGTTTTGATTTGGCTCAAGGTTGTACGCTGAGGCCTGTGCTGCTGAGTGCTGAATGTACCTGATTGGAGTCAGAGGACTGAAAATAAAGTTTTAAAGAAGAAATCCAGTGGGTTCCTGTTTTATTCGGACATACCATTTTGAACAACGCAAATTTTTCCAACATGGCTATAACCATAAAACAAAACGTAATAAAGGTTATGTCTGAATTGCAGCACTGATTAGCTAAAAATCTACCACTAATAGAGGAAAAGCATTTTTTTTTTCCAAAAATGATTTGTTGCACTGTATTCTGACCCTTTCGTGCAGAGGTCACTACAGTGTACAGCTGTTTAAAAGTGGGTTTTTTTGTTTCTATATGTATGGCTGCAATTTTGGGCAGTGTTGCATATAATCCACTCTAGTGGAAGCTATTACATCATCCCATACAAAAAAATCCTATTGGCTGGTCATTGCAATGGGAAAAAGGTCAGTGAAACCAAGATGGCTGACAGATGGAGAGAACAACCAAACACCTCCGCTATTACAATTTTTACCTTCCATTAAAAAGATACCATTGCAGGTAAAAAAAGTGATTACATCAAGTAACATGTAAGGTGACATTATGTAAAGATTTCCCAAGTTTTGAGTTTATATTTGTAGAAAATACAGATTAAACACATGTCCACTCAATTGTACATCATGCATCACTGGCTACGTTTTAACTACAATGCTATATCAGTTATTACCAATGTTGTTCTTGAAAATAATTCATATCCTATACTGTTTTGGTTGTAAATCAAATTCATAGTATTATAATGTAATTTGATTTTTTATAAATAAATTTTTACACAGTCTGGCCAAAAAATATATATTATACATGCTATGAGAGAATATGATCAGTTCAGAAACTTAACAAGAATACATTCTGATAAAAACAGTTACAGTTAAGATTCTATGAGAATCTACAGTTCAGAGTAGGGCTGCATGATATCAGGAAAACCTGTGATGTGTGATAACAGTGCTTAATATTGCCATGACGATATGACTTGCGATAAATGAACAAATACATAACTATGTAGTGTTGATGTTTTCTGGGTTCTGAGCAAAAAAACAAACGAAACAAAACTAATCATTTTCATTCTAGTATGATTTTTTTAAAAATATGAAGAGTAATATGAAGGGCTCCATTTGATTGGTGAAATACTTCAAGCTTCCGTCTGAGTTACAAAACTCATAAATGCAAACAGTTTATGCATTTGTTGCAATATGCATATTGCACCAGCAGTTATTGCGATGACGGTACATTTTCGATATATTGTGCAGCCCTAGTTCAGACTGTGACTTGGGTCACAGTATCCTCCTCAATTCAGTGAGAATATATCTTTATTTTTTAACCTTGTTTTAATCCCTAAAGATTAATAAAAATGCCTAGTGAAAACATAAATTTATGTTTATGTTAAATTTTACATTTATCAATAGAGCTCAAATAGAGAGGACTACAGAGGAGTGGAGGAACCCCATTGCAATTGAATACCATATTACAACTGTATAACTAAATTACAACTATACCTATATAATTACCATGTTGTTACATTTGTTTTTTACAGTACAAAACGCATGAAGTGCACTTGAGTGTACAGATAATTATTTCTTTAAAAATAGAATTTTTTTTCTCAAACCTTGTTTTACATCCCTAAGGATGTATAAAAACACTAGTAAAAAAAATCCTGAGTTTATCATAATTCATGCACGAAAGGGCTAATGGTTATTAGCTGCTGAAAAATTTACTCACCAAAAAGAAAAAATCAGTAGGTCCTCTGGATGAGTTCTTCTTTAGTGAAACGGTTCGTCTCTCCTCAGACTGACTTCTTCAGTCTGAGTTTCACTGATGAAGTCTCTTGGAGGAGAGACGAACCGTTTCACTAAAGAAGAACCCATCCAGAGGACCTACTGATTTTTTTCTTTTTGATATTTTTCTACCTGGATTATTGAGATGCATCAGGAAATTACTCACCAAGTCTTTAAATTCTCCAAAACCGTAGTTCTCTTGCGCTGCTTTGTTCTTGCTAACGAGCTGGTGGTCTCTGACAGCAAAACAAGTCCAGATAGGTTCTGACCCGGTTGAACAACTTCATTTTTAAAGGACATTTACTTGATTTTCAAGTTGTACTAACTAAGGTCACTTTCTATGTTAAGGCAGAAATATCTGTTAAAAATGAAGTTATCAACTCTATTATGAGTATAGGTAACAAATGTAATTTTTCACACTGAAAAAGCTCTTGATGTTGAGCTGAACCTACTAACCCCATGTTTCATTTCTTAGAGTGCAGAGGACCTGAGCGAAGCCTTTATGTCTTGGAGCATAAACGCCACACACAGCTGTGAGCCCTGGGCAGGAAGGACACCGAATTTCCACCCACCGGCCTTCCTGTCTTATTCACAGTCTTTCCTGAACCCAGATGCCACACCATCAGACGATGCGAAGGTGAAACCTGTGACCCCCCATGGGCCCAGAGAGCGCAAGGCGAGCCACTATAATAAGACACCTGTCCCGGTGCTGCAGCAGTCACCTAAGCGCGTGGTGTCCTGCAGTTTTTGCAAGCACAACGGGGAGTCTGAGCAGGTGTACGGCTCACACTGGCTAAAGAACAAGGCCGGGGAGGTTGTATGTCCCTATCTGTGGCAGTATGTGTGTCCTCTGTGCGGTGCCACAGGACCCAAAGCGCACACCAAGCGCTTCTGTCCAAACGTGGGCAGTACCTACTGCTCTGTGTACGCCAAGTCCAGACGCTGAGGGGACATAGACCCTGCAAAGAAGACAGCACCAGCTAATGTGTGGTTTTAATTATTATTAGTAGTATTAGTCAGCACGTGTGTTTTGGTTTTTTTGAGTGATTCTTGTTTTGCTTTTTGTATTTGCATGCAAATTATTTAAGTTTGCTTTTTTGCATGTTTTGCTTTTCTTCGTGTGTGGTTTTTTTTTTTTTTTTTTTTTGGTTTTGTTTTCTAGCTGGTCTGGTTTAATTATTTCCCATTTTATTTGTCATTTTCTACAAAGACTGCCAGATATTTAAGGCAGGAAGATATGAGAAATGTTTTTGTAGTCTATAACGAGGCCATGCGATGTCCGATTTCACAACTCCATGATTTAAACTGATTATTGTCCTATCAAACCATTTTTAAGATCAAAACTTGCAGCTTGTTTACATCATGCGACCATGTCAGTATTTTAATGTTTATATTAGTGACTCATTCTGTGTAGAAGTAGCACATAGATGTAAGTAGAAGCCTGTTTTATTTTGAAAGAATTCTATAACTTTTTGTGTGTTTAAAAAAAATCATAAATGTTATTTGTCTAAACTTGTTTGCATTTTTCTTCCCACCCTAAACACAGACACGACCTCTGCATGAATTAATATAGTTTAATGGTAAACAAAACTTTATTTTGAAATAAAAATCTGAACATCAGAGGAATTAAAAAAAAAACATTCCAGTTGACAATGAAACAGTAAAAAACGATAAAATAGTAATGAATCAATGTAATCGCTTAAAAAAGCATGCTTGTGAACTCTTTGGACTATAAGATGAAAAAACAGCCTCAAAGAAATCCTTTACGTGCAAAACCTTTTGTATTTTTGCGTCGCAGGTTGTCCAGCTGTCGATGAGCCACCATGACCTTTCGACTGAAATTGAAAAAATAAAATTATTTAGCTCACTTCAAACCAGGAAAAAACATAATGTGCTTTGCAAAAATACAGACAATTACAAAAACGGGGCTAATGAACATGCACACACACAGATCCTCCATTAGTTAAGATGCACACACGAATCAAAAGAAGCAAGACTGTCCTTTCAGCAATAAAAGGGTAAACGACGTGCTAATATCCCAACAAGTAACGGGTGAGGCTATGTCCAGAACATGGCCGCCATTCCAAAGAGAGGCTGTCTCATTACTTGCTGGGACATTCATGTCATTTTCTCTTTTCTCTTCTTTTTTGAAATAATAGGATGTCCTGTGGTTTTTGACTCACCCTGTGTGTGTGTGTATATATATATATACACAGTAGGTCCATACAGTGGGGTGTGAAAGTTTGGGCTGCCTTGTTCATATTCCTGATTTACCTTTTATAAATCATTGATTGTTTGGATAAATAAAAATCAGTAAAATATATCATATAGGGGACAAACAGTGATATTTGAGAAGTGAAATTAAGTTGATTTACAGAAAGTGTGCAATAATTGATTGAACAAATCAGGCAGGTGCATAAATTTGGGCACTGTTGTCATTTTATTGATGTCAAACTCTTTAGAACTAATTATTGGAACTTAAATTTGGTTTGGTAAGTTCAATGACCCTTGACCTCCATACACAGGTGACTCCAATTATGAGAAAGGGTATTTAAGGGAGGCAATTGTAAGTTTTTCTCCTCTTTGCATCTTCTTTGAAGAGTGGCAGCATGGGAGTCTGAAAACAACTTTCAAATGAGCTGAAAACAAAGATTGTTCACCGTCATGGTTTAGTGGAAGGATACAGCTAGTGATGGGTCGATGAGGCATCATGTGTCGTTTTGACACTTTACCAAACTGTATCCATACGTGCTGAAACTGTGACTGAATACTGACACCTGCTGGCCCTTAAAAATCCCTACAGCCAACCTAGTTGACAGACTCAACTGACACTGATTTGATGACCTATACAATATAATTTAAAAAACTAAATAAAAATAATATAATTTAAGCCATTGTGTTTTATCTTTGATGTTTTTAGATACTGTCTATAAATAATGTGAACATGTTTCATAACATGAAAATCTAAGTGAGCATGTTGTGAATGAGGATGCCTGTTAACTAGGATATTTTTTACAAACTTATTAAAAAAGTTTTTCCAATGCTTTCAAATTGAATCTGTTATGCTTTATACATACATATTGTGTGTGTATATATATATATATATATATACACTCACCGGCCACTTTATTAGGTACACCACGCTAGTAACGGGTTGGACCCCCTTTTGCCTTCAGAACTACCTCAATTCTTCGTGGCATAGATTCAACAAGGTGCTGGAAGCATTCCTCAGAGATTTTGGTCCATATTGACATGATGGCATCACACAGTTGCCACAGATTTGTCGGCTGCACATCCATGATGCAAATCTCCCGTTCCACCACATCCCAAAGATGCTCTATTGGATTGAGATCTGGTGACTGTGGAGGCCATTTGAGTACAGTGAACTCATTGTCATGTTCAAGAAACCAGTCTGAGATGATTCCAGCTTTATGACATGGCGCATTATCCTGCTGAAAGTAGCCATCAGATGTTGGGTACATTGTGGTCATAAAGGGATGGACATGGTCAGCAACAAGACTCAGGTAGGCTGTGGCGTTGCAACGATGCTCAATTGGTACCAAAGGGCCCAAAGTGTGCCAAGAAAAGATTCCCCACACCATGACACCACCACCACCAGCCTGAACCGTTGATACAAGGCAGGATGGATCCATGCTTTCATGTTGTTGACGTCAAATTCTGACCCTACCATCCGAATGTCGCAGCAGAAATCGAGACTCATCAGACCAGGCAACGTTTTTCCAATCTTCTCTTGTCCAATTTCGATGAGCTTGTGCAAATTGTAGCCTCAGTTTCCTGTTCTTAGCTGAAAGGAGTGGCACCCGGTGTGGTCTTCTGCTGCTGAAGCCCATCTGCCTCAAAGTTCGACATGTTGTGTGTTCAGAGATGCTCTTCTGCCTACCTTGGTTGTAACGGGTGGTTATTTGAGTCACTGTTGCCTTTCTATCAGCTCGAACCAGTCTGCCCATTCTCCTCTGACCTCTGGCATCAACAAGGCATTTCCGCCCACAGGACTGCCGCTCACTGGATGTTTTTTCTTTTTCGGACCATTCTCTGTAAACCCTAGAGATGGTTGTGCGTGAAAATCCCAGTAGATCAGCAGTTTCTGAAATACTCAGACCAGCCCTTCTGGCACCAACAACYATGCCACGTTCAAAGGCACTCAAATCACCTTTCTTCCCCATACTGATGCTCGGTTTGAACTGCAGGAGATTGTCTTGACCATGTCTACATACCTAAATGCACTGAGTTGCCGCCATGTGATTGGGAAATTAAGTGTTAACGAGCAGTTGGACAGGTGTACCTAATAAAGTGGCCGGTGAGTGAATATATATACATACAGTATATAAACATACAGTATATGTATGTATAAGCTTGACAGTTAAAAATAAGATAAAGAATAATAAAAAAATGAATTAATCAATATAGTAACTGTGTAAGTCGCAGAATGTATACAAGTTTGTCTTGGGTCTATCTGGGACTTCATTCTCATGTCGGTGTTATGGCCTATAATGGCTCAGCATTGAGGAGGAGATTTTGTTTATTTATAGGAAAGTTCTTTCTAACAAATGCAACATTTCACCTGCATAAAATAATGAGTAGTAAACACAGTCACTTTGAAATGAATTTGAATTCAGATAGATCAGTGTGGAAACTAAAGGAAAAAGGATAAAACAAGGAAATTATAATACCTTATTTTCAGATTTGCATAGTCTACATGTCAAGCTGCATGGATTGTCCATAATTTACACAGATTTTCTAGCCTCATTTCGCAAGTATATCAACATATACAGCAATCACACAGATTGTTTTCAACTTTTTCTGGTTTTCAAAAACTCAGTTTCATATTTAAGCTAAAAATATAATATAAATATAAAAAATAACATCAAACAACCAATCTTTCAACCCGCTCTGCTGCTATAAGTTCTCTACTCCTCATGTCTATCAACAACTCGTGGTGCCAAAACGTTCAAACTGCTCACCGAACAGGACCTCCTCCACGATCACTATAAACACAGGAACCCCACAGGGGTGTGTCCTTAACCCAATCCTTTACACCCTGTTCACACACGACTGTGCTGCTTCCCATGAGAACAACATAATCCTGAAGTTTGCTGATGACACTGCAGTGATAGGACACATCACTGCAGTGATAGGACACATCACAAGGGAGGGGTAGGGTTACGGTAAATCAAAACACGAGCGGGAAGGAGGGAGAGGAAACGGAAGTTGACCATATATGGAAGTCCCCCGAGGACGGAGGGGCCGGAAGATGACCATATACGGAAGTCCCGCCCTAAAGGGGCGTGGCACCTGTCACTTTTGTGTGACGTCATTTAACGAATGCCGGTGTACATTATCTCTTTTATCCTATCACTTATGACTTTCTTAGTATCCTTTAAGTGCTTGTTTTTTCATCTGGTTGTCTCTTGGCATTCAGAGTGGACGGCAAAGTAAGAATTTCATTGCCCAGGGAAACATGTTTCAACTGTGTGTATGACAATAAACACTTTGAATCTTGAATATTAATGCAGTGGTTCAGAAAATGCATTTTTTTTCTTCATACACTGATATGTGTCCTCTACACCAGACAATACAGCTGCTTCACAGATATTTACTCCTTCTATGGTCTAACTGTCCATCTTTGAAATGCCACATGTGAGCTCCACCCACTTGTTAGTCATTTAGAGGTGCCACCCATCTGGCCAGAGTTCTAAAGTAACTAAGTACAAATACTTTGTTACTGTACTTAAGTAGAATTTTTGGGTATCTGTACTTTACTTGAGAATTTTATTTTTCAGCCTACTTTTTACTTCTACTTCTTACATTTAAATAAAGGCAAGAAGTAGAAAGTCATAACTTTTATTTCATTTTTGCTTGTTTTTATTCCAGCTTATTATTGTAAAAAATAAATACCATCCATATAAATTGTGCCTCCTAGATCGAGTGAATTTAACTGTGGTTGAATGAGAAGTATAAATATATAAAATTCTGATACTGTTTAGTTTTTACACAAACGAATCATGTCACACTCCAGCAGGACATAATCATTAAAATAAAAGTACTGTATTTAAGAAGTATTTGTATTTCATTAATTATATTATTGTATTTGGCTGCAGTCCTCAGATAGATTTTCATTTTGGGGAAAAGGTTTGTGCAGTCATGATATATGTATATAAATTAAAACAGCTGCACTAGTGCATCCTAAATTTAATATCAATTAATTATTTTAATACAACAGTCATTTCTGTAGTTTTTGTGGAGGTCACCTCCTAATAAATGTCCTTACAGAAAATCTAACTGCTCATTTTAAATCAATATTTTTACTTTTAATACTTAAGTACAAAAAATATCAGATACTTTAAGACTTTTACTCCAGTAATATTCCTAAAGGAAACTTTAACTTTTACCAAAGTAATTTTTGGTAAGATACTTGTACTTTTACTCAAGTATCACTTTGTGGTTCTTTATACAACACTGCATCTGGCAACACCCCTGGCTTTAGCCAATGTAATAAGCTAGATACAGAGGAAGGTTTAAGAAAAATAAGAGAAAAGCAACACAATTCAACCTAATAAAGATGGTACATGGAAGGAGATGTTTCTACTAACTTTAGAGAGGAAAGTTCTCCAATCAGTCCACATATCAGATCTGTTGCATCCTCGAGTTGAACAGAGAGATCAGGTTCATTTTTCTCCATCATCTTCTCATCCCTGCAGGAGAGGGAAGCATTGGGTCAGAAATATGAGTCTTTAATTATTTTGAAAGATGTCTAATAAACCTAAACAACAAATACAATCAGGATTTCCATGTTAGATATTTTTGTCTGAGATTTGTATCAGAGGAGACATTTCTCATTAAATATTTTAAATTAATTTTGTATTTTTATTCCATTAATAATTTAAAATGTACTTAATGTGTCTGCCATTTTTAGATTACTGTTAAGATGTTTTGTTGTTGTTTTTGGACAGAAGTCAGTGTTCTTTCTCACACGAGAACGATGGTGTTGAGCTGGGAATCAGACACATAATCTGAGCAACCAAATCCAAACGTGTCATCTGGGCCTCTGGTCTGACTCGGAGTACATCCAGTAGAAGAACCAGGAGCACCGCTGTCGTCAGGATCGCACTTCAAACACAAACAGACATTTTACTGCTAGGGCTGTGCATTGGCAAGAATTTGGCGATACGATACATATCATGACAAAGAGGTCACGATATGATATATCCCGATATATTGCGATACTGTAAGCAAGGCAATATATTGCAATTTTTTGGTCCAAAAACTGTTAAATAAAAACCTCTTACAGGGGAAAAAAATGAAAAACCAAAATTCATTGTCTCAGAAAATTCTAATATTACATARACATACTTTTGATACATTTAGCTGTGTTCTGCTTTGTATGTATTTTATTTGTTTCATATTTCTTATTTCATCCATGTTTTCAATTATYAGACTAAATTTGCCAATAAATAGGTTGAAAATTTATATTTTTTGCAGCTTTTAGTTTTTAATATTAATTTACAACATGGCCACCCAACACTTAATAATAGCCTCTACCTCAAGAGGTACAGCAGCCAAATGACTGGCTCGCTGCTGCCAACTAGCCGTTCATTTCTATGTTGTAGTTCAGCCTCTGACCACTAGTTGGCCAACTAGTGGTCAGAGGCTGAACTACAACATAAAAATGAATGGCTGGCAGGAAAGTTGACATTTTAAACCTTAATAAAAAATCGATACAGGGATTTAGAATATCGATGCAGTATCGGGAAATGAAATATCGTGATATTTCAATGTATCGATATTTTCTTACACCCCTATTTACTGCATGTGAATAAACAGCTGCTTTATCAAATATAACATTTAGATCTGAGCTGCATTTATCTACATTTTGACATGAACAAATTGCTACTCAACGATCAACACATTTTAAGACTGTCTGGTGTTCAGCTACTTGATAAGACTGGGCTGTGAAAACATCCTTATCTTCAAATATTTATATACTGTAGGTGGATTGATTGATTGATTTGTGGTCTTTCATCTCTGTGGGAAAACGTCAGCATTCTCATGTGGGACAAGGTTTTTCCTGACGTAGGAGTCTGCCTTTCCACAGACATTCACTATATTGCCAAAAGTATTTGCTCACTCATCCAAATGACTGCACCAGTGCACAAAGCAAGGTCCATAAAGACATGGATGCAGTGGTGGGCAGCACTGATCTAAATATTAGTTGCACTAATCCTAAAGTACTAACTCAAATATTTAGGTCCCCCAATTCTAAAGCACTAACACAATGAAAAATTTAACAAAAGCTAATTTCAAAGCACTAAAATAATCCAGTTGACACATGAACATTCTTCAGAGTCAATGAGAAAATATTTACTGTGTGCAGAATGTTGTCACTTAGTGCCATTGGCGGGCTATATGAGAGTCACACACAGGCCACATTTGGCCTGCGGGCCTTGAGTTTGACACGTGACCTTGTATGTAAATGACACATATATGAACAAAATGTGGGACAGCTTTCACCCTCACCTGTGAACAAATATGTTGATCAATAACATTTAAAGACCTCAGTTAGTGCTTCTAAATTTAGCCTATAAATTTAACAAGTGCTTATCCACTAATGAATTTAAAAATTAGCAAAAGCCCTAAAGCACTAATCAGGAAATTAGTTCCATATTAGTGCTTATGGGGCACTGTGCCCACCACTGCATGGATGTCAGAGTCAGGTGTGGATGAACTTGACTGACCTGCACAGAGTCCTGACCTCAACCTGATAGAACACCTTTGGGATGAATTAGAGCAGAGACAGAGCCAGGCCTTCTGTCCAACATCAGTGTGTGACCTCACAAATGTGCTTCTGGAAGAATGGTCCAAAATCCCCAAAAACACTCCTAAACCTTGTGGACGGCCTTCAGAACAGATGAAGCTGTTCTAGCTTCAAAGGATGGACCAACGTCATATTGAACCCTATGGATTAGGAATGATGTCACTTAAGCTCATGTGAGTCAAGACAGGTGAGTGAATACTTTTGGCAATATAGTGTACATATAATTAAAGAAAGCCAGACTCATTTTATGATTTGAATTAGTTTTATCTACGGAAGCTGAGGGCAGACGTGTTTTCTGCATATCATTTTTTCCATGGTTTTCTCATGATAACGACATATTTGATACACATACAATAACGAATCAATATCTTGAGACAACGTTCATCGTTATTTCATGATAACGAGATACTGAGTTAATATCAAGATGGTTTTCTCGAGACGAGTTATGGTTTTCCTCTCATGCATCATCCGGTAACCATGAAGATGGCCTGGTCCCCTCAGCTGGTCACTGATAAAGTTTATTTTAACAACAGGATCACTTCAGTGTAAACACCTGCTGAGCTGCAGTCAGGCCAGCTGTCTCCTTAAATGATGAGGGTTGATATGAAACTTATCTGTACAAGACAAACAAACTGCAGTTTCAGCTTGTATTAGTATATAGTAAACTTCATCGGTAACCCGCTGAGGGGACCAGGCCGTCTCCATGTTTACGTAACGATACACAAGAGGAAAACCCAGGGAAAACCATAACTTTTTCACTCTTTCACACACTTTTTGTATCGAGAAAACCATTGGGAAATTAATGTGTTATCTCGAGAAAATGCTCATCGTTATATGTCGTTTTCACGAGAAAACATATTAATTATATGCTGAAAAATGTCCGCTCTCGGCTTCAGTATTTAGCAATCATAAGAAAAACATAACGAGCTTCAAACTTTCCTACAAATTCTGGGATTATAGTAGCAAGTCTCCTAATTTCCAGTCATACTTGTCACTTCCTCACCTCTTTTCCTTCATGGAAGGATGTGAAAAATGTCAGGATGAAGGTCATGAAACTACTACTGTATTTATTCATGTATAATACGACCTCGAGTATAATACCATCATTTTTTGAGCTTAAAAAGCATTAAAAATCTAATTATCAATAACCTGTGAATAATACCCCCCCCCCCCCACACACACACACACTTTATGAATGATTTTTAGGGTTAAATTTCTGGTTTATACATAAATAAATACAGTAAATGATATTTGTGTAGATTTGTTGGACCGGTTTTAAACAATGTGAATCTCAAGAGACTTCAAAGTACTCTCTCCTTAAAATGTTGAAAATGCTTTTGTATGACATAGTCTTTGATCACTGGTTCTCAAATCTGGGACAATTTCTCAATGGTTGTGTCTCAGTTCATGGGCTGGGTCCTCATGAGTTCGTAGCCCAGCTGGGCCATGTGGGCCACGTTTTTCCAAGTCCAGGTAGGCTGCTCAAAACTGCTGTGAAATAAGACGGTCTTGCCTTCGCTTGATGTACGTTTGCGTGACCATACTCCCTTACCATAGTGATCAGTTTCATATCAGACAGAGCAGTAAAGTATGTCTTTTCACTGGACTTCAGTTAAAACGTTATATGTACATAATAAAAAACATTAGCTCCAGTATCAGTATTATACTTCTAGTTGCATTTTTTAACAGCTTATTGCAGCATAAATTTCATCAGCTAAGTTGCTAAACTTAGTTTTAAAAACAAATTCTTCAGTCTGTGGTGAATTTACAAACTGCACCGACTCGTTAAAAAATAAAAACTCCACCGTCTTCATTTCTCGGTTCATTTTGCTGCCCGCGCACTGAATCCTGGGATATCCTCGGCCGGTGAGGATACACAGATGCATCCTCGGATTTTGACAGAGTTGTAAAGTAACTAAGTTCAAATACTTTGTTACTGTACTTAAGTAGAATTTTTGGGTATCAGTACTTTTCTTGAGTAATTCTTTTTCGGCGTACTTTTTAATTGTACTTCTTACATTTTTAAAAAAAGGCAAGTAGTAAAAAGTCGTTACTTTTATTTCCTTTTTGCTTGTTTTTATTCCAGCTTGTTATTGTAAAAATAAAAACTATCCATATAAATTGTGCCTCCTAGATAGCGTGAATTTAACTGTGGTTGAATGAGAAGTATAAATATATAAAATTCTGATACTTTATTAGTTTGTACACAAACAAATCATGTCACACTCCAGCAGGACATAACCATTCAAATAAAAGGACTGTACTAAAGAAGTATTTGTATTTCATGAATCATATTACATTTGGTTGCAGCCCTCAGATAGATTTTCATTTTGGGGAAAATGTTTGTGCAGCCTTGATATATGTGACCCATCATATCGAAATGAGGATTAAGTCAAATTTGGTCAAAAGTACCTCATTACATTTTCAGATTATTGGATTTAAAAGCTACATTTTGATACCTGGATCATTCANGAGGAATTTTTGATGTCCTTATAAAGAGGAAACCTCAAATTATATTTGAATATTGAGATTTCCCAGCTGGAAAGAAACAAAACTTTGCTAACTCACAGGGAAAATCTTAAAATTTTAAGGCGTTTTTCCTCAAAATCAGTTTTTTTGTTGCTACTGCTCAAAAAGTGTCTCAAAATTTTGTTTTATGATTATATTTCAGACAGTTCACTCAAATGATATATTGATAAGGCTTTTATTCATTATGTTTTGACAAAATGCAATTTTTTGTTAACATTTTAGTCAAAACACTACATTTGCCTTTTTCTCCACATACAACTTTTGGACTTACTCCTTGTTTCGATGTGACAGGTCACATATTTATATAAACTGAAACAGCTGGACTAGTGTATCCTAAATTTAACATAAATTAAATATTTTAATTCAACAGTCATTTCTGTGTTGTTTTGAGGAGGTCACCTCCTAAATGTCCTTCCAGAAAACCTAACTGCTCATTTTAAATCAATACTTTTACTTTTAATACTTAAGTACAAAAAATATCAGATACTTTAAGACTTTTACTCAAGTAATATTTCCTAAAGGAGACTTTAACTTTTACCAAAGTAAGTTTTTGGTAAGATACTTGTACTTTTACTCAAGTAATATTCCTAAAGAAGACTTTAACTTTTACCAAAGTAAGTTTTTGGTAAGATACTTGTACTTTTACTAAAGTATCACTTTGTGGTTCTTTATACAACAGTGGATTTTGAGATTTTTTGGGTTGCATTGCTCGGCTGTATGAAGAGGAGCCTTTCGAGCACTAGGTGCAGGGCAGTGACATCATGAGCCTGCAGCTCATGAACTGAGACTCAGCCACAGTGTATTTCACCTCTTGGACGCTTCCATTGTCTGCAGAAGAAACAGCTTCTTTAACACCATCTGTTGTACATCTCATCTTTTCATCTCCGGTCTCGTTCGCCCTCGTCATCTGAGAAAAATCAGCTTCAGCTCCATCCTTGCCATCACTCTCCTCCACTTGACTCGTTCCAGTAGATTTTAAATTTACGTCTGCTGACTCTCCTAAGCCTATTTCCATTTGTTTTTCAGGCACCTCAGCTCTATTTTCAGCAATGATTTCTTTGTGTTCCTGCAGCTGCTGATTCTCTAAACGCTGCTCTTCTTCCTCTGCATTTTCATGTGATTCTGGGTTATCAGTCGGTTCTGGACCGGGCCATCTTTCAGCCTCAGGAGTTTTTCCTTCCAGGGAATCTGGATCACACAAAATACTGGTCCCCTCTGAGGTAGCAACAGCAATCTGGACTTCAGTTTCAGCTCTGTTTTCACAAGACATTTTAGAAGGGAAAAAAATAAAATTTAATTATTTTACTGTAAAAAATACATTTTCAAATGTGAAGTTTAAATTGTTTTTAAAACATTGCATGTAACAAATAAATGTTATTCCATCATAGCAGGATGCTGTTAACATCAAACGAATTTATAAATCCTTCCCTAAATAAATATTTTTTATTATTGTTCTGAATCTGCAAATAATTTATGTATCTTTTTTTTTATCTTTTAATTTCCACTCCTGCTTTGAAGTCCTGACATTTTATAATCACACACAATAATTCTTTTGTTTTTCCTTAAATAGATTTTAAAGCAACAGTTAATTTAGGAAAACATAACTAATCAGACCTGTTTTGATTTGTGCATATCCTCATCTCTTTATATGAAATTGTAAAAATGAAGCAGAGACTTTAAAAATGTAAGATGTATCAGATAATACTGACGGGCGGTGACTGTTGTGAGGCGTCGGCTCGGCCTCACTTCGCTCTGCGATGCAGTCTGCTGAGACGTGCTGAGGTGAAGCTGAGGCTGAAGGGGGTTTCTCTTCCAAAGCCACAGATGTGGGGGTTTTATCATAGATCTGTTTATCAGAACTCTCTGCTCCATTCGGACAGTTTTCATTGTTTTGCGAAGAGTGACTCCATTCCTTCTCTGTCATTCTTCGTTTCTTCTTGGCTGGTAAACCAGCTGTTGACTCTTCGGCATCACTTGTGCAGGTGCTGGGTTCATCTTGGTTTTTCTCTAAATCCAAGTTTCTTTTTGAATATATCTGCTTCTCCAAAATGGTGGAGTCATTATCATCTTTTGAGACCTGGAGTTGATCACTGCTGGTTTGATCTGGTGATATGTTACATTCTTGCTGCTTCCTCCCCGCTCCCTCCCCGTCTTCTTCATTCTTCTTATTTACTCCACAGGTCTCCAGTTGAGAATCACTGCTGGGGTCTTTGTCTTCTTGTCCTGTAACCGCTACATTTGTAATGTCAACACTTGTCATTTCTGTGCCTTTTTCTTTGCAGAGACCACCCTGCTCTGAGAGGCAGGACAGCTCTGCAGCTTGATGATGTTGCTTTACGATGCCGGCACATTCCTGCAGAGGGCACTGCAGTGGCACAGCAACTGATCCTGTGTCATCTTCTGTGTTCTAAAATAAAGAATAAAATAAAACTCACTTCATAAATCTGTCCAAAGAGCATACACATATAAGCCCTACTCTGATAAGCTGAATTACCTTTTGACTGAGAGTAGTTTGATCATCATCAGTCAGCACAGATTCATCACTCGGTGATTTGCTTTTTCTTGACTCGAGTGGCCGAGTCTGGGCTGGAAGTGAGTTGTCTCAAAATATACAGATAAATTTGTTTAATCCAAAACTGTGAGGGGAGGAGTTCTTGTAGCTGATTAACACTTATCATTATTTCTATTAAGTAGGGCTGTGTATTGGCAAGAACTTGGTGATACGATACATATCTTAACAGAGGGGTCACGATACGATATATCCCAATATATTGTGATACTGTAAGCAAGGCGATATATTGCATTTTTTTTGTCCAAAAATTCTATTAAATATAAACCTCTTATTGAAAAAAAAGAAAATTTAATGTTTACTTACAATGCTAATGCTACCCTTACTCTCTGGTGCTCAAGAGGTAGAGGAGCCAAATG